TTTTTTTTTTTTTTTTTTTTTTGACCAACCCAACCTCTTCCCCTTCCGCTTTTTTTAATTTTAGCTAAATTTTAGCTCTTTTTATTGTGTGTTGCCAAATGAGCCGTCAAACATTCTCTGGAACATGCAGCGACAACTTGGCATTTACTACATACTAGCAATTTCCAGATGTCACTTAACTCTTTAGGCTCATAGTCACAACTTACACAGATTGGCTTCACTTTTGGAATTTTGCTCTTGAGCTCCTTCATTTTTGATTGTGACTTGTTCACCAACTTGTTTGCAGTTTTGAAATTGCACTCTCCAATTCGTCTGCAAGTTTCATATAATCGTATCGCTTCGTCATATTCTTGATCAGCTTCGGCTGTCATGGCTAAACAATAATTAATATGTATTCTTATAGCCCGACATTTTTGAAAATCGCTTTGTCTTAATTTCTTTATTACTGCGGGATCTTGCAATGTTGACTCAATGTGTCTCATGGCACGAATTCCGGTCATCCAGATATCGTCATCCTTCTTTCTATGCATTTGATTTCTAAAAATCTCCGATAATCCCGCGATTACCTCTAATAAAAGGGATACATCCCATTTTTCATTTGGGATCATATAAATTAGCTTAAGAGCTAAAAGGTAATAAGCCGCTGAAGAAGGATAATCTGGATTTACATCTGAAACTCCTCCCCTGTAAACTAAACCTAATTTTGCTGCAGCGCAAGCACTTCCTAACGTTGTTGCTTTTTCTAATAGTTCCACCGACTTGGCAAAGTCTTTTGAAGTTGCTTTTGATTCTGCTTCACATAAAAGGGTGGTGACCTGGCTTACAACTGGAGGCAAGACATCTTTCTTTTTTTGTAAATTGAGGATTGAAGATCCTCGATTTGATTCAGAGGAAGAAGAACTGGAAAGTTCTTCAAAGTCCTCGGGCACCAGGGTCCTAAAATTTACTGTTTCCGACTTCTCAATTTTTTGCTGCTTTTTTAGCAACCCCGCGAAATTATAAAGACAAGCTCTCATGTTGTGTTATAAAAATTATAAAAATTATAAAAAAAGTGGAAATAAAAAAAAATATTTTAATTTTTTTTAATTTATTGAGTGATTTTTTTTTTTTTTTTTTGTGAATGTTCTTTTATGGATGAAAGGTCAAAACTGTCGGAGGGAAATCGGGGTTATTTATACCTAAAGTAATGAGAATGTAACATCATATAATCAATCAATCAATAACTTCATTAGGTAGGATTATCATTATATATAATGTTTGACAAACAATAAAATGAAATGGGGGAATCGAAAACAAACAATTAAAGGTTGACGAATAATATTTTTGATTTTTTTTGTGCTCAACATAAAAAAAAAACGAAATAAAATAAAATGAGTTTCTTTTTCTAACCAATGATAAATATTTCTTCTTAAATAAAATATTTTTAATGATTATTTAAAGTTTTATATTATATTTATATATTTATTATATATTATAATAAATAAAAAAAAAATGGGGGAAAGACAAAGAATTCAAAGAGAAAAAAGATAACGTTTTGATAGTAAGTAGATCCTTTCAATAATTAAGACAATAATTAAGACGAAAAAGAAGAAACAATTTCAAATAATTACGAAGTTAGGTTAAATATAAAAAAGTTTTCACATGAATTCATTCATAAAAATGGGTGGGGCTGATAATTTTTATAAACAACGAAGTTTTTTTTTTTTTTTTATGTACGTGAATATATATATCATTTGAAAAGGTAAAAATACGATAAAATAAAGTAAGATTTTCATGGATTTCAGCCTTTTCATTCAAAAAAAGGGTAGTGTGAAAAAAAAAATAATGTTTACAAATAAATTAAGCTTCAAAAAAAAAAAAAAAAAAAAAAAAAAATTTATTTATTTTTTTTTCTCGTTTTTTCCTAAAAAGAAAAAATAAATGTGAATCCTGTCACGAGATTACTTCACGTTTTTTTTCAAATATTTTTTTTATCCATCTATTAATAAAAATTTGATAAAATTTTTTCAATTTTTTTTTTAAAAAAATTTGAAGAAATTTTTTTTTTTTTAATAAAATAAATTAAAAAAAACGGATAAAAATTTTGATAAAATTGATTATGGTTGATATTCTTATTGCATTAAAAAAGTGCATCAATCATTAAAATTTAACCAATAGTTTATAAAATAACTCGACATCACCAGGTCACCAGGTCTCATATGTCCTCATAGGACTCAAATCGTTACCATTAAATGATAAGATTTATATTTGACGTACTAATCTGGAGATTAGTAATGGGTTACCCCCTTTTTTGGTCATACAACAGTTAATTTTTAATTTAAATACCATATGTAGAAGGATAATTTGTAATTTTGGTCGATTATTTGAAATTGCTTAACACGGAGAATGATTTATTTAGTTAAATATAACAAAACATATTAGATAACGCCCAAGAGAAACTAGTTTTCTTAAAAAACTGGCGTAAAATAAAATGATTTACATACAAAAAACCTTTTTATTGAAATTAACCGTCATGAGATTTTTTTTAGAATTCAGAATATTTAAAGTTGATCACTTCCGATTATATTAATTAAGTTTTAAAAATGGGTTGCATTTTAATTTTTTTTGAAAAAAATACAAATGAAATGAAATCATGAAATTAATTTATTATAACTGGTTATATATTTTTATATAAAAAAAAAATAGAATCAACCTTTTAATGGAACTTTATTTCTAAATATCGAAATGAAAATCCATCACGAGACATTGTAAGAAACCACATGTCCTTGCACGAAATCTTTTTATTAACAATTTTGTTGGTCCGTTATTTTATTACACGTATTTGTAAAATAATATAAGCCTCTTAACGGAGTTTATATATAATTGAAATTCCACTTATCTGCACAAAACCTTTACATAATATGCAGTATTCCCATAAACTTTTAAGCCCAATGCTAAGAAAACAATAAGTTAATATCGGATTTAGATTTATTCAAGTCAGATAAGTGGAACGCGTACGAGAATTTTAGGTGACCACAATACAATTCGTGGAATTATCTTCCGGGTAAATTATATGGTTAACTTTTAATTGTGTAACGTTATTAACAATTAACGATTATTTTATCATATCATTTAAACCTTTTTTGAATTTTAATTAAGGCTTTTTTTCTTGGCTGAATAATTTTTTTATCTATGTATCATTACCAATTTAAGCATGTCATTTTTTTTGAAGGATATCTATCATGAAGGTAAAAATGGAAGAATTATGAAATTATACATACATACAGTATATACATACATATATATACATACATACATGTATATATATATATTATTTATTTATTTATGTATTATATTGTATTCAAAAGTAATAATAAGATGACCACGTGAAATTTCTACCTACATTTTAAACTGTGCATTTAGTACATACTTTATCGGTATAGTTTTTACCGCTGCCGGTAGTCATTTTCAAAAATGGAAGAATATTATCGGTAAAAAAAACAACCGACCGATCCGACCGATTAATTATTAAATTAATATTTTCGATTCCAAAAATGATCATATTATGGATTCATATTATGTATTAATCATATTATTCTCATAGTTAAAATTTATTATTATTTGTCGCAATTTTTGGAATTTTTGGTGATAAGGTTTATAATAAAGTTAGTTATGCGAGTCCAGTTACCGGAATAAATCATGATTTTTTTTTCACAATTTTTAATTATTTTATATAAATATTTTTTTGTTTACGAATTGCGCACGCCCCAACATGAAATCATTCTAAATTTTATATGAAAAAATTTAAGAATATAATCAATTCTTTTATAAGAACCAATTGTTAATGTTTTAATTATTAATAAAATTATTTTTATTTCTTAATTTATTTATTTATTTATTTATTTTATTTGTTCTTTTCGTGTCATCACATTCATAAGATACAGTTTGATAAAAAATTAAAAGTAAAATTTAAATATATACTTTAAAACACTCATTACGGTTTTCTCCAGAGTGAAGTTTAATATATGACTCATATATAATAAAAAGAATTTTTTTTTTGCAATTAAAAATTCGTTAAAAAGGAGAATGTAACAAAGTAAGTTAGTTCTATTGTCGAATCTGCAAGAATATGCAAGATTATGTATTTTATTTCTATTTAAAGTAATCATTCCTGATTCCTCCATAACGTTCAACATAAATATGAACAAATTATCGTAAACAAAAGTTATAATATATTCTATCAAGTTTTCAAACTAGGGAAAAACGATATTTTTTAAAAAAAAAGTCGGGTTTTTTTCTTAGTATTATAAAATAAATTACTTATTTTAACAATAAAAAGCCAAAAAAAGTTAAATTGCCGATCCGCCACAATTTGGATCGGCGAAATGGTGGAATGATTTCTTTGAAAAAGAGTATTTTGAAAAAAAAGTATTTTTTTTTTTTTTTTTTTTTTTTATCAATGAAATCTTTTTTTGAATTTTTTTTTTGAACGAACCTTTTTTTAACCAAATTATTCAAATATTTTTTTTAAGTTTATAAAAAAAATATATTTATCTTTTATACAATAAAAACTTTAAAAAAATTTGTTTAAATTAGTCAGATTTTTTTATATTTTTTTTTATAGTAAAATAGTTAAATCCGTCGAATCCCGTAAAACCCGCAATATCCCGTCATTCTTGTTTAAATAACAAATATGCACTTTTGAAACTAAAAAAGATTCAAAATCCATGTGATATTTTACAAATCAAGATTAACAACGTTTTAAACCCCACAATTATTTTAAGAAAGTTTAAAATAACAATGAAAAATTCGAAATTATTTTTTACATTATAATTATTAGTGCGCTCCACCACCCTAAAAATAAGTATTTTTATAAACGTTATTTTTATTTTTTTAGATTATCAAGATATCATTGTTGTTATATAATAATTATATTTATTTTGAAACATTTAATTGCATTAAATTAATAAATATATTATTTAAATTATAACTTTGTCGGTCGTTAAAGTTTGAAATCAAATTCTTTTACAATTTTTTTTAATTTTTTTCGAATTCTATTAATCTTTGTAACGGATTTCGCATTAATTTGCTCAATTATCATTGGCAATAGTATTTTCTTTAAATGTATCGTATTGTAAGTAGGTGTAGGTAAAAGTAGAAGCCTACATTTGGCAGCCCATACCGTAACCAATGACCTGGAATTTAATGTATGAATACATATATGTACAGTCCCGGACTTGAAATATGAATTCTATGCCAGCCCGATTAAAACATTGAAGACTCATGAATATTTATTTAATAATCGAATGTTTTTAAATAAATAAATTCGATCAATAAACAAAGCGCATCTGTGACACGATTAAAATTTAAACCATGCTATATTAATAATATACAATCACTAAATAGATGTGATTATTATAATCTCTTGTAACGCGGAAATATTGGAAATACTGTATTTAACGACACAATTTTATTATTTATTACAAGAAAAAAATTTTTTACATTCCAAGATATTTGAAAATTTGACTTTCATAAAAAAAAAAAAAGTCATTTTATTTAATTATTTATTATAAAATTTTTTACTGTATGTGACTACTATTAGTAGTTTCTTTTCTATATAACAGCCTGAATAATACAGAAATATAAATTTGGAATATATATTTTTTTATTTTTATTTTTTATTTTTATTTATTTATTTATTTATTTATTTATTTTGCTTTATAAGTTTCATGTCCGAATGTTACTTTTTATTCTGTTAATTTTTTAATAGTTATTTATTATATCGTTCCTCCCAAGCGAGCCCTTACTATGGACGAGGCTCAAACCGAACCACTTATAAATAAATTGATTTTATTACTACAGTCAGACCTTGATATACCGATATTCGATTATACCGATATATATTAAAAACTCGATATAACGATAAAATTTTACTTTCTTACACTTCCCTGCTATAAACTTTCATTCTTTCAATATACATTTCGAAGTTTAATTTCGCCAATTTTTGATTTTGATGAATTCGAAACACTCATTAAGTAAAATTTTTAAGGTATCATAACGTCCGACATTCCATACATGTTGAAATATTTAAGCATTTATTTGATTTTCTTGGTTCTTTAAACATTGAAATTAAAAGTTTCAATTATCGCAAAATACTGTTTATCCCAATTACCCAATCACGGGACTGGCCCATTTCACCGACAATCATTTCACCGACTACCTACATACAGTTTTTGAAATCCCTAACCCTAATTCTAACCCTAACTCCTAATTCTAACCCTAATTTTCTTAACCCTAACTCTTTTCCTAACTTCCTAAATTCCCTTGTTAGATGATTGTCGGTGAAATGATTGTCCGGTGAAATGGATGCGACCCAGCAATGGTTCACGTGCGTATGACTGCGTATGACTGCGTGTGAAACTTTGGAGTAAAAATGAATTGGGTGGTCCGTTATTTTTGCAAATAGCTGTAAACTTGGGTCAAATCGATGTTTTACTAGATTATACTGCGGGATAGTCATAATTAAAACTTTGATAATGCAGATTTTTGGATAAATCCAATATCCGTTTACAAATACTAGTCCTGTTCAATTCTATTCTGTTCCGTTCTGATTCGATTTTTTGCTAAATTTTTGAACTAATCAAATTCATTTAAAAATCGGATTAACCACCAGATCAACAGATTAAAAATTGATGTTCATATGCAATATGTGCTTGGATTTTTGATTGATACAATTGGTTGGAAATAAACGGAACAGATTAAACACGATTTTTCTACTCAATTTATTCCACTTTTTTAATTGGCTAAAATTAATTTCACTAAAATTGATCAGAACGGAGCAGAATAGAATTGAACAGAGCTACTATATAATCTAACGTTTTTATTTACTAACACTAAAAAAAATTTTTTTAGAAAAATGATCATTCATCGAAGTTTTTCCCAGAAAAATTTTTATTAGGATAAAAAAGTTCACCAATCAGGTTAATAAAGTAAAACATATGAACTTCTCTTTTCCTATTATTTTTAAGTTACGAAAACGTGCCTCAAAAAAACTTTAATGGTACTGTATGCATATGTGATATGACATCAAAATAGTGCATGGAATTCCCATGGATTATGCAGGAATTTAACGGGATCTGTGCAAATCTTACATCATACAAATCTCATAAAATTCCGCGTAACGGTTAATTAACCCCATTCCCTGCATCAAGATCAACAGCCCAAATTCTGTATTTGGTTTTTTTATGACAACTATGTTTAATGCTAAACTATATTATTTTGAACCCATAAACGTTCCCGCATCCCGCATTACGGCATTAGTAAGCATAATGAATTTTGTATGATGCTAAGAATTAAAAATAAATAACTTGGTCTAGTCGACCAAACTTCACCCCCGATGAAATTTCTTTTTTCGTGAAATAAAAATAATTCATTCAAATTTAAGATAAATCAAAAATTATATTAAATTATATTAAATCTTCGATAATGAGTTATCCGCAAAAAAAATTGATAAAAGATATTGATCCTAACGAGGTTCAAAAATTTAAAAAATCATTTGATAATAATATTACTAAAATATTAACAGAAGGTGATGAAGGATATGAAGAGAGCATATTGAGATGGGCTGATAATTCAATTAGAAAAGCAGGAATTGTTGTTCAAGCGACATGTCTTGATGATATCGTTAAAACTGTTAATTTTGCTAATAAAAATAATTTGGATTTTGCTGTATGTTGTGGTGGTCATTCAACTTCTGGTAGTTCAAGTTCTGAAGGAGGAATAGTATTAAATATGAGAAAATTAAATAAAGTAAGAGTTGATACTGAAAAGAAATTAATTTATGCTCAAGGTGGTGCATTATTCGGTGAAGTTGATAGTGAAGCTTGGAAATATGGGTTAGCTACCGTAGGAGGTATAGTTCATCATACAGGAATTGGCGGATTATCATTAGGAGGTGGTTTTGGTTACTTAACAAGTAAACATGGATTAACAGTTGATAATATTATGGGAGCTACAATAGTTACTGCAGATGGTGAAGTAAGAGAATTATCAGCTAACAAGAATGAAGATTTATTTTGGGCGATTAGAGGATGTGGAATTAATTTTGGTGTTGTTTATGAATTTATTTTTCAAGCTCATGAACAAAAAGAAATTGTCGCCGGTTTTTTAGCATTTCCTGCTGAAAAATTAGATTCTGCCGTTGAAGCCTCTAAAGCATGGCTTAAAAATCGTGGAACTGATGAAAATATCACCTTTGTCATTAATAGACTCCCTCCGGAAAATAAGGTATTTATATAATATCCTAGCTTATATATTATATATATTATAACGCAGATATTTACGTTTTTGATTCTTTTTAGCCAGCCATCACGTTCATATTATTTTCTGATGATCCATCGGAACAAGTTTTTCGAAAAAAATTTTCACTTATTTATGAATGTGGTGAACCAATATTTGAAAAAGTAGAACGTATGCCATATCCCAAATTAAATATGTTATTGGATGAATCCACCGACTTTGGAGATCGTAAAGCAGTACTCAACGCGCAAATTGATTATGTTAATATCTCAAGCGTTCGTGAAGCCTATGAATCCTTTGTTAATTTTACAAATGAAAATCCGGAAGCCGCTCAAACACATATTGAAATTGATTTAATTGATAGCAAAAAAATTGCTTCAATACCTTCTGATTCTACAGCATTTCATCCTCGTAAACAATTTTATCACGTAGTTATAGTTCAAAGATGGAAAACTAAAGAGTGTGATAAAATTGTTTATGATTGGTCAAAAAGTATTCAAAGTATTTTTAATAAAGATGGAGATAAATCTCTTTACGTTAATTTTGTGGATACTACTACGGATCAAGCATATAATAATGAAGAGATTTTGAAAAATGTATGGGGTAAAAATTATGAAAGATTGAAAGAATTGAAAAGAAAATATGATCCAAACGTTTTTTTCAGAAAAGGTGCTGTCATCTTTCCATGATTTATTAAATATTAAATATTTTTAAGAATTATTTTTTATATATATATTTACTTTATAGTATGTAAATTTTTCATATTTTAAATTTTAAATGAGCCTTATTATATTTTATTATATTTTTTATTATCTAATAAAAATCATTTATTAAAAGATTATGATATTGTAATTTCTTGATTTGACGAATTATGTATACTTTATAGTATGTAAATTTCTCATACTTAAATTTTATATTTTATTATATTTTATTACCTAATAAAAATCATTTATTAAAAGATTATGGTAATTTCTTGATTTGAACGAATCAATTAAAACGACATCAATTTTAAAAAATCAAATATAAAATATAATTGTTACATATATACTGTATATTGATATTATCATTATCTTATGTCTTATTGAGTTTTTCATCACAATTTTTCGGTATCGGGACTTTTCGCCGAAGCCATTTCGCCGAAGGGATATTTCTCCGACCCTATAAAAAAAATTCTAGAAAAAACTCCGATAAATGATCATTTTTCTAGTTTTCATTCCGAAGAAACAGACACGTGATCATTTTTCTGAAAAATTTTTTATATGGCGAAGGGACGTTTCACCGAAATACGTACTTTATCGTTAGTATAATCGAAAAGTACCGTAACAAAATTTCGATTTTTTTTTGTGAATTTTACACGCGGAAAATAATAAAATTTAATGATTATCAAGTAAATTTTTTCGATCTATATATGAATCATCAACGTGACAACGTCTAAGTTCTAACAAAAAAAAAATAAAATTAACTTTTATTATCTATAATTTAATACACTATTAATATCTACACGGCGCGTAGATATAGGAAAATATTCTCGTATCGTGTGAACGAATAATTAACGCGCAAAAATAAACGAACGATTCATTATAGTAAATATTTTAAACTAGTTTTATAATTAGATAGATTTACTAAAAACATTTAATGGTTAAAAAAACAACACGCTACTATATTAATTTAGATAAATGGTATAAATGGTTATATAATAGGGTATTTCACCGAAAATCGTTTCACTGATAATCAACTCACCGACAGTAAATTTTACAAACAGGATCAATTGTTTCACAAATGGCAATTTCACCGATGGGTTCATTTCTTTGACAGGATTATTTCACCGACAAATACTAAATGAGTAAAAGATCCATTGATTATTTTTTTGTAAATATTATTTCATAATATAATGAACGGTAAAATATATAATATTTATTCAACGTATAACTTAAAATTTCATATCATAATACCGTCTATAAACACTAAATGCTTAATGTATTTACTAAATAAAATAATGTATTTAACATCCCTGTAAAAATAGTCGATCCGTTTTTTATATTCCATCTTTTTTCATAAAAGGCTCATTTCCGGGATTAATAACCTTATATCACGGAATTTATCGAATTATTTTCATTTTCCGTGAATGGATCCGTGAAAGGCTCATTTTTACGGAGATTTTACAGAAATAACGGATAAAATTTTTTATAGGGCATATTTAACATGTAACATAGATAAATACTCCTAACATTAAAAATTGGTTATAAAAATACTATAAAATTTGTGTCTTTGTGATGCTGAATGATTTTAGGTAAAATGATTCTCAGCGAAATAGCCCTGTCGGTAAAATGACCCTGTTAGTAAAATGATTCTGTCGGCGAAATGATTTCCGGTGAACTCTCTATCGGTAAGTTGATTGTCGATGAAAAATTGTCGGTGAAATAAACCGAATCTAAATGATATTGAACGGGCGCCAAAAGTATCGGTCGAAGACCGATATAACCCTGTTCAATGACAGTATCCCCATAAAAAAATTCTGGAGAAAACCATCGTTTTTCTAGTTTTTATTCCGAAGAAACTCAGACATGTGGTCATTTTTCTGAAAAATTTTTTATAGGGTATTATGATCCTATCATTAAGATTAGTGCGCGTGCTACGGTGCTAGTATTATTGTTATATATATTAAAAATTGATTGAATAAATTATATTCCCGGACGGGGATAAATTAGCCCGTTACTGCGTCGCTGCATTTTTAAAACTTTGGGATTTTGACTGTCAAGATTTTTAACTGTCAGAATTTGTGACTATCGGGATTTTATTTCAACGGGATTAGGGTTTGTCAGGAACTTGGTGTCGGGATTGTAGACTGTCGATTTTATGGTTGTCAGGATTTTGTGGTAAAGCCATTCGAGGGGACATATATATAATTGGTTAATTTTGATAAATCTTAAAATAAATTTGTTTAGGTTCTACTTGGTCTTTTTTATCTTTTGCATGGAAATCTTTAAATACAATTTAAAAAAGAAAGAAAGGTATTTTATTGAGGGGCTCGTAAATTTCATATTTTTCAATAATAAATATTATTAATATTAATATAAAATAAATTTAAGTATTATTACTTAATTTTTAAATTGTATATTGACTTCATTACCTTTACCAACTTGATCGTTAAAATTTTTGAATCAAATTATTTTGTCAAATGAGATCTTTTAAGATTTTATATTTATCGTTATATATAACATATAAAAATCGTTTATGAATTTGATAACGATTTTTTTCATTAAACCGAGTGTAATTGAGTTAATGATCACATGTCTGGATTTTTTTTGGAATAAAAAACTAGATGATCATTTGTTGGGAAAATTTTTTATAGGGTATCTTTTTTTCGTTCATCAATCAGGCATTATTATTTAACAAAGTAAAACATATGGACGTATGACGTAATATGTGATAGGCATCATCCTGTACTTTGACTAATTTGGCTTTTTCATGAACAACTATTATAGGCTCATAAATCATAATATGCTAAACTATATTATATTAAATCATATCCCATATTATGTTGTCATAATTTTTTTTTACTTTCTTCTATAGTTATCTAAATCAATCAAATGGCTTCCGAATTAATAAGTATAATGAACTTTTTATGATCAGATTAGGTAAGTCCCGACGCTAAGAATTAGAAATAAATAAACTTGGTGACGGTCGATCAAATTCTCTATTTTGATGAAATTTCTTCGTGAAATAAAACAATTCATTCAAATTTAAAAGATAATCGAATCAAAAAATATATTAAATCTTCGATCATGAGTTATCCGCAAAAAAAATTGATAAAAGATATTGATCCTAACGAGGTTCAAAAATTTAAAGAATCATTTGATAATAATATTACTAAAGTATTAACAGAAGTTGATGAAGGATATGAAGAGAGTATAACGAGATGGGCTGATAACTCAATTAGAAAAGCAGGAATTGTTGTTCAAGCGACATGTCTTAATGATATCGTTAAAACTGTTAATTTTGCTAATAAAAATAATTTGGATTTTGCTGTATGTTGTGGTGGTCATTCAACTTCTGGTAGTTCAAGTTCTGAAGGAGGAATAGTATTAAATATGAGAAAATTGAATAAAGTAAGAGTTGATACTGAAAAGAAATTAATTTATGCTCAAGGTGGTGCATTATTCGGTGAAGTTGATAGTGAAGCTTGGAAATATGGGTTAGCTACCGTAGGAGGTATAGTTCATCTTACTGGAATTGGTGGATTATCATTAGGAGGTGGTTTTGGTTACTTAACAAGTAAACATGGATTAACAGTTGATAATGTGATGGGAGCTACAATAGTTACTGCAGATGGAGAAGTAAGAGAATTATCAGCTAACAAGAATGAAGATTTATTTTGGGCGATTAGAGGATGTGGAATTAATTTTGGTGTTGTTTATGAATTTATTTTTAAAGCTCATGAACAAAAAGAAATTGTCGTCGGTTTGTTAGCATTTCCTGCTGAAAAATTAGATTCGGCCGTTGAAGCCACTAATACATGGCTTAGAAATCGTGGAATTGATGAAAATATCACCTTTATCATTAATAGACTCCCTCCGGAAAATAAGGTATTTATATAATATCCTAGCTTATATACGATATATACGATATCTATTACAACGCGGATATTTACGTTTTTGATTCTTTTCAGCCAACCATCAAGCTCGTGTTATTTTCTAATGATCCATCGGAACAAGTTTTTCGAAAAACATTTTCAATTATTTATGAATGTGGTGAACCAATATATGAAAAAGTAGAACGTATGCCATATCCCAAATTAAATATGTTATTGGATGAATCCTCCAACTATGGAATTCGTAAAGCAGTACTCAGCGCGCAAGTTGATCATTTTAATATCTCAAGCGTTCGTGAAGCCTATGATTCTTTTGTCAATTTTACAAATGAAAATCCGGAAGCCACTTACTCATTTATCGCAATTGATTTAATTGATGGCAAAAAAATTGCTTCAATACCTTCTGATTCTACAGCATTTCATCCTCGTAAACAATTTTATAACATAGCTATAATTCAAAGATGGAATACTAAACACTATGATAAAATTGTTTATAATTGGGGAAAAAATGTTCAAAGTATTTTTAATAAAGATGGAGATAAATCTCTTTATGTTAATTTTATGGATACTACCACAGAACATGTATATAAAAATGAAGAGATGTTGAAAAATGTATGGGGTAAAAATTATGAAAAATTAAAAGAATTGAAAAGAAAATATGATCCAAACGTCTTATTCAGAAAGGGTGCTGTCATCTTCCCATAATGTATTAGATAGGATTTTTGGAATTATTTTTTATATATACTTTATAGCATGTAAATTTTTCATATTTTAAATTTTAAATGAGCCATATATTATATTATCCAATAAAAAATTTTATGATATTTAACGAAATTAATTTAAAAAATCAAATATAAATATAAATGTTAATATTTTGTCACATTAAAGAGTAATTGTGCACTGCTTTTTTAACTCTATTAATTGCATATAAATTTTTTCTTTTTCTTCTGATGAAATTGTTGATGTTTTAGCATCTAATCTTGATTATTCTTCTTGTAATAATTTTCTGTTAAATGATGAATCTGGTGTCACTGATATGTAGTGCTTCGATCCGGATGAAAACTTGAATATTTTCATGTGACGATTATGGCTGAGAAAGATTATGAATTTCAGATTTAAACAGACTATAATTTAAACCAACATTAAAGTATTATTATCCCAAAAATTTATACTAATTCTGGCCAAACTCATAGTGCTAGCGAAATTTAATGAAATTCAATCCGGATGAAAATCCGGATAAAACCGCTACGGATCGAAGCACTACTGATATGAGCGTATGTGATCAATTTTTTTTTTTGTAGGGGCTTCTTCAGCTTTCTTACTACAGTCAGAACTCGATATAACGAACCCTCCGGTTCAATGAGAAAAATCGGTATATCAAAATTTATAAGTTTTATAATTGTTATAACGATTTTTATATGAATCTTAAAAAATCGCTTTCTTTATCGTGAAATTCGTTATATCGCATAGTCGTTATATCGAGTCCTGACTGTAATTAATTAATCATTTGACAAAATGATGTGATTCAAAAATTGGTTAGGAAAAGTTGTAAGGGTAACATTAAAAAAAATATTAAATAATCCATATATATATATATATCACATGTTAAGTACTTTCAGAAAAATGATCAACTATCACTGAAGATTTATTAGAACGTTTAGCAGGAATCACGTTAGTTTATCTCAGAAAATAAACGTAAAAATACTGAACAATAAGGTGGCAATGAAAATTTGATTAGTCAGAAATTAAATTGACAGATCAATTGAATTACTATTCATGGACAAAAGATATGGAAGTGCAGACTATCTCTTTTTTCATAAAGTTAGCTAGTCTAATTGGCTAAAATGTTAATGGAATATATGTATAAAAGAGATCATTCAAAGCACAACTTTAAATAATAATATATTACCGTACCGCACTGCACATAATACCCCGGGTATTATACAAAATACCTGATTTAAAAATTATATAATACCCGTGGGCACATTGTGAGATACCGGGTATGAGGGGTACATAATAATTTTAACCAGGATTAAGCTAAAGTTACCAGAATTAAGGGGGTACTAATTGAGAGTAAGAATTTTATATCTAGTCGGGTCTTATAACGTGGGGTACTAACTTTGGGGGATACTATAGGCAGTGTTGTACGGTAATGTAATAAATTTGGTTAAGACTATAAAAATAATTGTTTATTGCTTAGTCTTATCCTCGTTTAATATGGTTGTTGAATATTTGTTTTGTTTCAAATATAGTTAATAATAATGGAAAGATTATCACAATATTTCGAACAATTTTTATAAAGTACTTTTATAATCTTGTATACTTTTCAAATATTATTATATTATTAAAAATTTTTATAGACTAATGCATCATTGTACCATTCTAAATTAAGTTGATTGAAGGCCCAACACTTTAGCGCAAATCAAAGTGTATTTATTTTGTTATACTGAATCATACACTATATATTTCATATAAAGTAAAATTCGAATAACAAAAGAGCGACTTTTATTAGAAGTTTTCACAGTCCTGAGACACTTTATTTACCGAAGTGATGCTATCATAAAATGGAAATTCCTTACTTAACGTTAGTCGCGCCTCGCGCGCAATCTTAAGTTGATCGTAATGATTGGGCAATCACATTAAGGGAAGCGTTTGAATCGATTTTTTTTCAAAGCTTAAAATTTATTATGTGAGGATGCCAATGTTTGAATGATCAAGATCACGTACCGTCATACCGAGCATTTAATAATTAAAAGCTTCTGCTGAGCTAAATATTTAACTTATTTCATTATGTTAGTAATGGATTGCGAAATCAATAATTTTATATTATAGTTTATTCTATGGATTCAGAGACATCGAAACGCGTATTATCAGGTATTTGATTTTAAATAATGAATAAATCTGTAAAAATGTCAAAATGATTCATATTTATATATCATTTTTTTTTAATATTCAATTTCGTATAATTTCCAGAATTTTTCTTTTTTTTATACATTCACTTATTAAGTATAATTACGGTAAGTATAATGAAAAAAAAAATATATAAATATAATGATAGAATCATATAAATCATACAAAATAAAAAAAATTATATCAGATATTGTATTCCATTCATTCATTACCCAATTTTTTTTAATGTCATGCGTGTTAGATATCGTGACGATTTTTCTTTTTTTACCATAATAATATTTTACCATAATAGTATTTTATCATAATAGTATTTTATCATAATATTATCATAATATTATCATAATATTATTTTACCTTATTACCAACTATTTACAGTAAATTTATTTTTAGTTTTTTTTTTCTATTATTTTAAGTTTTACACCTACACTTAATCCGAATTGTATATCATTACTATATTTCATTAAATAATTGTAAAAGATCGTTAAATGTGATACAGTTTTATATTTGTTATTAAATACATTAAAAAGATCGTAGTATTTTAAGTAATCTATGTATATTATTGTATTGATAATAAAATATTATTATTTATTGTTCTAATTAATTTATGAAGTAATAAAGAAATCTAATTATAGTAAAAATAATCTAAATCATTCATACTTGAGAGAGAACATTTAGAACATTTACAACAATAAAAAATTTAGGTAACATGAATATTTATTTAATATTGTAACTTAATTTAGGGATTTCTTAATTGATTATTTAATTTTTTTTGAAATCAAAAAATTTATTAGTCGGAATTTAACTTGATCGATATCTTAAAAATAATAATAATAAAATTCAATTAACCCCATGCATTGTAGATCTATTTAATTAAATACATCAAATGTGTTATATAATATATATTAAATTATTATTATTAATTCTATAGAAGTAAATTTTTAAAGGTTCTTATCTTAAAATATTTATAAATTTTATTGCTTACGAAAACGCCAAGGAATAGTAATGATCATGAATAATTTAATTATTATACACAATTTTTCTTGATCGTCGAGACGTCAACACTTTACATATACACGTGACTATAGCGGTAAATCACGTTCAGAATTATACGGTATAATTGTTAATACAATTTACATTTTTTTTTTTACTTTATTACTTGTTAACCTTAAAGAGAGTATTCGGCTTCAATTTTTACCGATAAAGGATATTATAGGAATAACGTAAGCATTATTAAAAAGGGTATAGCGTATATGTAATTAGTAATCAAAGTAAAAGAATCTATACCATGATTACTAAAATATTTAGATGTTTTCTAATGTCGATAAATGCTGTGGATCGTATTACCAGATAATTAATGCAGGTGTTTACATAACTGGAACAAAGTGAATGCATTATGAAATATCAACCAAATAAAATGACATGGTTTGGCGTTATTGCATCATTATTAAACGCTGATATTAATAACAACTATGAATCATGATACATTAAATTATTCTGATGGATGCTGATACAAGTACGATAATCAAACGCCAAGCATTACGATACGAAAAATAAACCTAAAATTAGCTACACAATGATTTTCTACAATTATTTGTCTGATCCTTGTAACAGATTTATCAAAATAAATCGTGCGGGGGATATCGATTTAAAAGAAGATATTTATTTATTACATTCATTTAATAATTGATACTATGCTCTAGGACTTGAATAATTAATTAACGATTTTTAACTTGTAATGAAATCTTATCCAAAGAATTTTTTTTCAATTATTTCCATATAAAGACGACTTATTATACGAATTTAGAAATTATCAAAACCAGTAAATTAAATAATGATATTGTTACATAATATAATCATGTGCATTTAATATTTGGTCTCTAACTGTATCACACTTAATGATCGATAATCAATATATAGAATATAGTAATGATATACACAAAGAGAAAGGGATAACCGCTATAAATATATGATACATAAATAAAACTATCCGTAAAATTAATTTTTGTAACAAATATGACAAATCTAATTATAAAGTTATTAAAATTCACAGAGAATAAATAGCGAATAGATAAAGATTATTATGGATTTAAACATAATTCTGGCCGAGATCATTTTAAAAAGTAAGTTACCATAGTTCTGGCAAAAGATTATCCTGGCTCGCATCAAGTATTATGTGTTACGTCAGTTACATGATCTTTGACGATAAAATTATAATATCTTTTAAACTCCCACATTGAAATTGAACGAATACTGCAGCTAGAATAAAAATTAGTAACGAATAGCACCGTGTGGTTTATCGGCAAACGAAAGCACTATAGTTGTACATTTCCAGAAATAAGCACTGGCCGAGGTCATCATAATGTGGGCCAAAATCGTTGTAATTCTCATAAAGGTAAACTATAAGTCGAGGACAATTTGAAAATTAAAAATTATGAATTATCCTCGTTAAAAAAAAAATTTTTTTATTCTTTAATTAATGCAATTCATCATTGTTTTTAATATAAACAACAAATTTCTTTCCAATACCAATAACATTCTTTCGTATCCTTCTATGATTCTGATTGAGATTACATTTATTATCGATTGAAATTAACTTTGTAACAAAAATAAAATTTATAATTCCACCTTCTCTTTTATTAATGAACAAATTATCATTCCCAATTACAATTTTAGAAGCACCTTTAGCACCTTTATCATCATCATCGAAATCTTCAATTTCAAAATAAAGATTGGAAACATCATGCTGAGTAACCCGAGTAACATTATTAATTTCTCCTGAAACTTGAATAATTCCATTTGGAAATTGTGAGAAATTAATTATTCCAATTTCATTCTCATCATTCGTAAATTTACTTTTAATCACTTTTGTAACTTTACATCCTATCGGAATGTCTTCTTGATATAGGTTTAAATACGTATTATTATTATTATCAGGAACCGTAATCATCGAATTATTTTCGTTAATAGTCAGTTGTAATAATAATTCAACTGGACTTTGTATGTGTGTCACAAGTATCCAAAGACATACAGATAATAACATTATGGCCAACGTTAAATCGGATGCCATTTTTTTTTTTATTATGATATAATAAGAAAAGATTTTTTTTTTCTTTTTCTTGAGAAGAAAAGGTAAAAATAAAGGTAGGCGGAATATTCGGGTGAGTTTCAGTAAAAGCATTTCTTTTTGGGCGTATTTTTTGTTTTTGTTGATCACACTTTGTAACAATCAAAGTTTATAAAGTTTTACTTATTATTTCTTTTTATTTAGAAATAAACGTGTAACAAAGTAACAGTGATTTTGATAATCTTTCTATTTTATAAATATAATAAATATAATAAATATACTTTTTTATCTCAACAATCTTGGTACAAATATACAATTTTAGCATTTTTATTTTTTTGTGTTAAATATATATTACATTTTGAGTATTTTATTATTAAAATACAAAATTTAGTTATCTGAATTAAAAAATACTAAAATATTCCGCGCACAATATAAAAATTATAACTTACTGTAATTGTATAATACTAATTAATACCCACGGCTACTTTGTGCGATAAAAGAAACCTAATTACCAGAATTAAAAAGGCTTTTAAGAATTAAATTATTTTTGTTTGGCATTATTCGGTAACATTTGATGAATAGATTTACTACGAAGACAAATTCCTATAATAAATAATAATAAAAAAATTAAAAAAAATTGTAAATTAAATCATTAATAAATAATAATAATATATTAAAATACGTACCAATAATTACTGCTATTAAGATTAAAAAAATAATAAGTAAAAACGTTAACCAAAACTTTTTCGTGAATTTTTTTGTTTCAATATCTCTCCAAGGCATCTCCCATAATTTTTTCCAAGAATTTAATTTATTAGATTTATATTCTTCACCCTTTTCGCTTGCATTTAAATCATTATTTACGTAATTATTATCTTCAGAACCAGATGATGAAGCGTATTGTAGTTGAGATTCATCAATTTGAGATTCTTGAGATTCATCAACTTGAGATTCGTCAATTTGTGATAAATTTGATGAATGAGTAATAAATCTAACTTTTTTCCTATTATTAGTATTATTATTATTATTATCTAGGTTTGAAGATAAATTACTTTTATTTGAATCTAATAAAGAAAATTTTGATAAAATTGGACTCGAAGAATATGGTTCAGGAACCCAAGATGTATCATAAGGATTTAATAAAGGATTTAAATGTTTTAATTCTTCCATATTTCCTGCTATATTTTTATTTTCTTTTTCTTTTTCTTTTTCCTTTTCTTTTTGGTTATTTCCATTTACATCTACATTATTAAATGAGTCAGCATTAAATATTTTATCATAAAGACTTAAATTATCAAGTAAAGAATAATTTTCATCTAAATTAATAGATTTTGTTTCAAAAGGATAATTTAAATTTTTTATGCTTCTCTGATAATATTTGGAACGAGATGAATTACGACGTACTGGCATAGGAGGATCATTTATTGTTGTCGTAAAATGTACCGGTGGCGGTATGGCTGTATCTGAATTTATCGTAGCTGTAGATATGCGAAGGGATGTTCTTTTACTCGAAAATGAATTATTTGAGTTTCTTTTATCAACTTGTAAATCTTGCATTTTCATATTTTTATTTTTTAATACTTTTTTATTTTTATTTTTATTTTTTTTAATTAATTATTAGGAGGGAAAAGTAAAAAAAAAAAAAAAATTATTTTTTTTTTGGGTACATTTTTTTTTTTAACAATGAAAGGGTAGTCAAGTATTATATGAATAAATATGGCGTAGTAAAATAAATTATAAATAAATTGTCACACAGAAAACTTCCCATTGTCAGTATAAATTGCACCAAAGATTATTTATTTATTTACAACAAATAAACTTCAGTTTATAGTAAACATCATTTTTTTTTTAAAAAAGAGTTTATTTTTGGAAAATCTTGTATCAAAATTTCGGAATATGAAAAAGTACCTTTTTATGGTTAGTTTAAATGATCTACCAAAAAAGAAAACCGTGTAATACGAGCAATCGTTGACTTTTTTAATTTTGTATAAACCGGTAAAAAAATTTAATTTTCTATTTATAGAAATTATCTATAAATTGATTTTATCTGGGCTGAACTTCCAAAAATAAAAAAATTTCCTTAATAAAATTTTACAATAAAAGAAACCGGAGATTAACTACTTAAATTATGTTAATTATTTTTACTAGGCTAACTGTTTTTTAATTTTTTAATCAAATTTTTTATTACCTATTATTTAAATATATTAAAATAAATTTTTGTATTACTTAAAATCGCTATTAAGATTTTACCCATGTAAATTATATTATATATTGTCAAAGAAATTTGAAACCAATTTATAATATAACATCAATTAACTTGTTTGAAGTGTGTCCATCCCGTAAATTTCCAAAGAAAATTTTAATTCAATTTCGTGAGTAAAGAATTTTCTCGTTGAAACTGCTAGGTGTTAACAATTTTTTGATATAATACGAATTCTTTAATTTTACTAATTGGATAATTGATATTAAAATACTTTTGTCACAAAAAGATATCAATGTGCAGTTTAGGCTTTCAAGGATATATCAATAAATTTCGCATTATATAATTGGCGTGAAATTACCACAAAATCTCGACAACCATAAATCGACAGTCTAACAATCCCGACACCAAGATCCCGACAAACCCAAATCTCGTTGAAATAAAATCTCGTTAGTCAAATTCCGACAGTTAAAAATCTTGACAATCAAAATCCCAAAAAATTTTTTTTTTTTTTAAATATAATTTCAAAAATGCAGTGACGCAGTAACGGGTTAATTTATTGTAAATTTTATTAATACCAATGTAAATTGTTTGCAAATTTTATTAATATTAATGTAAATTAACTAACGTTACTATATTAATAATGAAAATTAAAATTTTCTGACTTTTACAGTTTTACATTAAATCCTTCAAATAACAAAACTATAATTATTAGTAAAAGCTGCTTCGAGAGGTCAATATTACGAAACTTTTCAGGTATATTGTAAGTATACCCTTACATAATATGTTCCATCTTGAAAATCACAAGTATTATAAACTAGTTTCGAAAATATTTTAAAATATTTTACTAATATGGTTAACGCCCACCTCTAATGTATAATTATTAATTTCTATTTTAGTTACATTACTTTCTATTTCTATTTCACGTATTTTATTACATCTAGGGTTGTTGTATTTTTAAAAGATATAATTTCTAATTACTTTTATATTCGTATATTACAGTATATTGTTCACTTTTTTTTTTGACAAGTTCTCATTTGATTAAGTCATATTCCTATAAGAACACATTATATTTGAAATTAAGATAGTTTATTATTTCCTTGTAATAGATATGTAATAAATCTATGCTACTATAAATATAACAATATGCTAAAGTTATATTTATGACTACTACTTATATTAATAAATATAAGAATTATCGTAATTGTCAGTTGACAACTTTAAAAATAATTTAGGAATTTAATTGATTGCATTGACAAAAGTAATTCATAAATTTTTTGAGATGTCAATAAGAGAATCATTAATGGAATTATTAGACTATTTAAAAAAAATAATATTGTTGATTATAAATCATAACTTCGTTTATTTGGTGTCAATTGTTATACTAAAAAATAGGTTATAAGTCTGTTTACAGATATGAATCAAATAATAAATTCTATTGATTTCTTTCTTTTTTTTCAAGTTACTACAACTTCCAATTGTTGATATAATTATATACTTAAATTATGGTTATGATGTTATGATAATAAAAATGAATTTTATAAAATATTTTTATAAAAATGTATAGTATTCTAATTTAGATAGAGAGAAAAATCAATTATATACTTTGAACTCCTTTAACATGTTTCACATGGAAAATTTTAAACTATTGTTATCAAAAATCAAAATCAAAATCATATGCACTTTACCTTACATTATTTTAATATAAAGAGGAAATATTAGATGTTGTTGAGAAAGTTTCAATTAGAATTATTTTAACAAAAAGTAAAAATTCTTTAAAATTATCATAAAATAATAATAAAGTTGGTGTCATTATTCAAAGAACACTTAAGCTACAACTGAGACATTGAACTTAACATAGCTCAAATTTCCATTACTTGTATAATACGCTCAGTTAATGAGCATGTTGTAATATAAACATATACTTTGTATAGTGGCTTATCTCAACATGTCCATATTTTATAATTCTTGTATTTTTATATTTAAGAGTGATGAAATCATGGACACATGTTGAAGAGATAAGTTATATTTCTTTTATAGTATTCAAAGTTCATTGATTTATAAAGGCTTTGGTTAATAGTTGTAAATTTTAAATATTTATCAGAAAAAGTATCCATTCAATAATTTTAATTACATAGACTACTAACAGATATATGAATGGATCTGGTTGGGAAATCTACAGCTGATACTAATAAAATTAAATTAGTGTAGTCGATACTATACTATATATTGTAATGCCAATATAGGTTTAACAAATAACAAACAAATGCATACCTGATATGTTCACATTCACACATAAGCCCTAAAAAATTTATTAAGAAATTAGGATAGAATTAGGAATTTAGGCTAGGGTTAGGGTTAGGGTCAGGGTTAGGGTTAGGGTTAAATATTAAAATTATTATTTATGATATTTTATTTTTTCATACATATTTTTTTAAAGTAATAAATAAATGATAGTAGATAAACTTGGATTTTTTTTTCATGAAAATGTATGGGGATGGTATGATATTTTCATATATATTATAAAGAAGAAGATTGAATATTAATTATATTTATTAAATAATATAACTAGTATACAGTACTTTACATTTATTGTAGAAAAATTTTGAATTAATAAAATATGAAGATTTTTATTATTTGATCGAAAATTTAGAAATAATATAATAATAATATAATAATAATAAAATAAAGCATAAATAACAGACAATCTTACGCTATGATAAAGACTTCAATAAAGAACGACACATGTAATACCGGCCGTATAAAAAAATCATATAATACCGTACATTTTCAAATAGTAAAAATCATGTAATACCGTAACGACATACATTTTCAAATAAAAAAAAATCATGTAATGCCGTAACGACATGCATTTTCGAATAAAAAATTACTATTTTTACCCCCTCATATAACATCACGTATCCTAGTAATGTATTAGATCTCACTTGATCCCCATTTTTAACCTATTTTTTTTTGTTAAGATCAAAAGACGATTCTTGCGACGTTACTCGATAGTTTCATAATAATAAATTCGAACAATGTATCATATTTATTTCAAAGACATAAAGAAACAATTGTAATTGTAATAAAACATAAAATGATAAATATAAAATTCAAATAATTCGCATATGAAAAAAGATTAATAAATTCACTATATTACAATATAAATCAAGACGAAGACTACAAATGTCTGAATTAATCTATAAATTTACAAAATATTGACCCGTTGACCCAATTAACCCATAATTTGTTGTAAAAATGTTAGAAAAAGAAAAAAAAAATAGATTAAAATTTGACCTCACTCCAAAAAAAAAAAAAAGTTTTTAAATCATGCATTACGATAACATTCTGATATGAAAAAAGAAAAATATAAAATATGATTAAACATAATGCTTCTCTTTCATTTTAATAACATAAAAATAATTTATGATATGATTACCTGATAACTCGAATAATATTAAAAATCTAGGTAAAGTTGCCTAAATAACAATAAAATAAATTAATGATATCATCATAAAAATCCATATCAATCAATTAATATACGCTTACCCTTTCTTTATTTACAATTAAAATTTCTCCCAGATTCTTTTTTATGACATCAACCACAAACATAGATTTCACCGACTTTAATACTACGCCATTACAATAATAAAGTGACGTATACGGATCATTTGCAAACCACATTCCTAAAGTTAAGAGTTAATAATAAATTTTAAAGCATCACTCCACGCCCTATCAAACATATACTTACTGTTTTTCTTAAATAAACATTTAGTCTTTGTATATTTAGTTCTATTTCCTTGTTGTACAATTCCACATAATCCACAATCTTTTTCACAAAATTTTCTTTCAACATGATATTCACTAACTATTTCTTCATCCTTTTCTTTATTAAAAATCAATTCCTCAATAAATCTTTCAGGTGAACAATTTGAAGTAGTACCATGAAACATTCGATGAGTAATATCTTTGATATTTTTTTTAGTTTTTTTACTTAAACTTTTTTTATAAGCTTCATGACGTTCTTCAAGTTTGGTTGGCATACGTAACTCAAAAATTCCAAGAATTTTTGATTGTGAAAGTGGTCGACCTACAAATGATGATTTAATTGAAATATATTTTGGATCGGTCGGATCTAATAATATCATTTCTGTTTTATTAATTTTTTTTGGTTTTTGTGAAGGTTTAAAATAATTTTTTGTAGGGTCGCGTCGGATTAATTGAGTTAAGCGGGATGAAAATGATTTTTTTGTATCGAAAAGTACATAAGGTGAAGGAGAAGAGGAAGAATTATTATTCTGAATGATTGAAGTTTCGTTTATTTCACAATTTTGACCCATGATTAAAAAAACAAATGAATAATAATAAAAAAAATCCTTTATAAAACAAAAAAAAATGAAAAAAAACAAAAATAAAAATAAAAATAAAAATAAAAAATGAGAGAAAAAAAAAAATTTAAAAAATTTTTAGAAAAAAAAATAAAAAATAAAAAATTTTATACGTTAAGAATTCATATTTGTCATAAGAAATAAAATAAATGGATATGAAAATAAAACTTAAAAGTTTAAGGGATTTTCGTATTTCAAAACGTATAATTATATGAAACCCCTTTTTGAAGATCTATTTTTGTACTTTGTTTCACAAAAACAAAATAAAATTATTTTTGCTTCAATTTTGATCAATTTGGAAATATATAATCAGTTTGTAATATGTATGAATTCGAAATTTTTTTTTTTTAAAAAAAAAAAAAAAAAGATTTAATTGAACCATAGAGAAACAATTCGAATTAAGAATATTCGTAATCTTTATTGAAACTTGATCAACGTCGCACGAATTACTAAATCCGGGTAATAAAACTTTTTGAAGAAAAAGGAAAAAAATATATATTAAATTATAGAAATAGATTTTAATAAAAAAAATTTGTGATGAATGTATTTATTGAGATTTAAATATTTAAAATTTTAATAAGAAAATTACGAGACATTACGTTTTGTTGCGGATTAATTCGAAGGATAAATTATTATTCAATACGCAGTGATACTATTATGTGCTACAATTAAACTTCACGAAGTTAAATAAAACTACGATGCAACCTGACACAACTAGTTTGAGTCATACAACAGTCATGATCATTTATTTAATTCGTATAACACTCGTATAACATTATAGAACAAATTTTGACAAAAAGAAAAAAAAAAATATTTATATTTTTTTTTATAGGACGCACAAAGTGCGCACAAGTGCACAACATAAAAAAACAAAACAGAAAAAAATACAGGAGGCAACAATCAGTGTTGAATATTAACACCATCAAAGCTTCATAAATGTAACCATTATTTTTTTTTACATCTCAAAAAAAGAGAAGCTCAAACTCAAGAAATTAAATAAGGAAAATCCTTGTGGGATTCAAGAAATTAGACGATCAACGACTGACATACAGTGGAAAGAAAGTAAAGAAATAACAACAACAAGGGTGGCCTTACCCACCGGTTCTATATACATATATATATCTCATAATCATGAGTTGGGACGAACCTTGCCTCTCGTGGATCATGGATTTTTACGTAAATCTTCCCAGCAATTGATGTGAGTCTAAGCTTAGACACACGTCTAATGATGAAATTAATAACTCGTAAGATGATAATATACAGATTTAATATTCCATTTATAATTGAATTCGGATTGTATTGGTGACATTTTGTACAAGTTCCTATATGGTCTATTGTTGAAAGATCAAGTTTCGGGATGTCACTGGCAAAGTTCCATAGATGAACGAATTTTCTCTTGATCAATCAATTATAGAAGAGTCCAAATCAGTAAAGATACAGTGCCAAGTTTTGAGATATCACTGACGAGTTCCGCGAGTTCCATGAAATAAAGGACGATTTTGGAATAAACTCCTGTTTCAGTAAATATGATATTAATAAAGAAGTGTAATTGCACATGATATTATTCTAATTGTCAATGAAACTTTAAGGTGATGGACCTTAAAATGAAGAGACTTTTTGATGACTGGTACGTTCTAAAATAATGTGACTTAAATTATCTAATCTTTCCTTTTTAGTTTCTAGCCTAATTTTGTCACATATTATTTTTAGATTATAACAAAAGACTTAGGTTTATTGCAATCTGTGCAAGGAGCAAGAAAAGGGAAATTTAAACTCAGGGTTGTAAAGTTCATGACTAGATATCTTTTTAAAATTACTATATATCTGTCAATAATTTTGACAAAATTGTGAAAGTTAAAGCAATGTCATGAAGTTGGTTTTGAAAGATAATATGCATGGCAATACATATTTAGTGGAATATCAGAGATGCAATATTACATCTCGTCATCCACAGAACGGACATATGCGAAGCAGAATGCTCCAGCTGACACTGATTTTTCCAAACCACAATCAATACAGATAATGACTTAACAGTGGCGGAGGAGGCAGAAGAAGCTTCAGAGGCATGTTGGATAGTGGAAGCATGTTGGTGATGGTTTATAACGACTCTGCAAGAAGAATTGCCATCTTCAGAAAACATGAAGCACTTTAAAAGTTCTTTAATGAAAAACCATAATTATATACAAGAGATCAAACATTAAGTTAGACAGCAACATTGTAGAAAAAAATTATAGTAAAGAAACCAATAATATGCTTGTAACCGAATTTCTTGTTAAAACCAAATTTGTTCATATTATGTGACTTACTGAGATTCTTGCTGGTTTAATATCAGTAATAGCACCATATTTTGTTTATAACCAATGAAGGTAATTGAAAATTATCATTAATTCTGGCAAAAAAAAAAAAAAAAATTACTGAAAATTATGATAATAAAATTAAAAAAATGTTCTTCATTCCATATTAGGTTTTTAATCAACAAAGGTAATTGAAATTATTATTCAATTCTGATAGAAAAATTTACTGAAAATTCAGCAGATGCTGATTAACATCAATACATCATAAAATCATATCTCTTATATCTGAGATTTATGTAATTTATTATATAAAAATTTATAGTGATTCTTTATCATACATAGAATATCTACTAATGATGAAGAAGGAAGGAGAAGACATGCCACTTGGCAATTTTTGATAATTTCCTATACAATTCAATATGTGACAACTCCATTTGTTGACTGAGGAATGAAATTTGATTTATTAAGAACTGAAAAAACATTTTGGGGAGTGTTTTCAAAGCAAATTAATATTTGTTTCAGCACCAACTATTCAGGATAATTTGTCAAGAAGTAAATATTTTATTACAAGCATAGTCAGCAAATCCAAAATTACAAATTTTTGATAGCATATTAGAAGCTTGTTTACAATCACTTTCACTGAAACTTAAATGTTAACAAGAAATTAAGGCTAGTCTTAATTTTCTTCCACAGACTCCGATCCTTCATCACATTTTGCCAGTTTCATCAACATTTTACTGTATATTATACTGTAGTAATATTATTTCACAGATTATATTAAATTATATTAATACAAGTACAAATAATAAAAGATCCAACAATTAAATATGTGTACCTTATTAACTAACAATAATTACAAATTGCAATAAAGATATTTTAAATATTGGGCCCAATTGTATTTTATTATCCGATTCATGGAGGAAATTATGGAATTACTTTATTATTTAGTTGCAGCTTTAATGAATTATTTAGTAAATATATCATCACATGATCTTGAATATTAATTATTAAGAACTTTAGTTCTTAAAGTTTGCATTGAACATAGTGCGGCATAGGATCTTAGAGATAAAGTTCATAACCTAAAAGCAGCCTTTTCAGCTCAACAAGCATGACAATCAGTAATTCATTCAAATCCTAATATATGATAGATACCTATGGTTTAGTTTTGTCTTTCTCGGATACTTTAGCAGTGGATAATATTCTCAATATAATTATGGCGAAAATTTGGTCTCTTAAAGGAAGAGTGGGGAGCCACCACCATGATTATTATACACTGAAAAATTTTCACATTATTCACAAAATGCTTCATCACCACGTTTTCATGTACATATTAGCAGATGACCCTCAATTTAAACATTCTTTTACACCCGAAACTGAATAATTTGATTCTATGACTCTATGTTACTTTTGATGAAAATACTTTGTCATAATAGTATATAATAAAATTATTAATTGAGTTTGTTAAAAAATTTTATTTTCAAAATGATAGTTTACGCGTTAATTGGAAACTCTACGTTAAATTTCAAATCATTTTTATTTTGGGACCTTAGGAAAGGCATTATTATTATTGAAGTACATCAATTATATTTTAATTTTTCAAATAATCACCTCTTCTCCCTTTTCGTTCTCCTCTTCCTCTTCGTTATGTTCTCCAATTTCAGCATCGGTATCCAATATCCGGTTGTGATTCAACGGCATCTTTAAGGCGACCTTTGTTAGCCCACGCGAGTCCAGCGCGAGGCTAAAAAAGGTGCCTCGTTTTCATTTTTACAATTGAATAAATAAAATCGTTTAATAAATAAACTCTTATGGTTTTTTCCAAAATAAATGTATCGTAAATAAATGTATCATATTATATTCGTATCATTAAAATTTCAATCTATGTAAACTTGAATATATAAATTTATTTTATCATCATATGTATAGATAAGATCTGAAAGCAAGAAATAAAAGGTAATAAATAATTATACACCATGAAGACAATAATAAAATTCAAAAAAGTGGGATAGTTTATTTTAATAATTAGTATTATTTATTTCATGGGGAGTTGGAAATAAATGGGTAATCCCCTGGAGCGTGTCACTCATTAAATATTAACTATTTTAACTATTTTAAACTAAAATTAGTAACTTCCCGGCTATCTATATGAGACCGGGAAATAACTAAACGAAGATTCCCGGTCATTTATAAACTCAGCTAATCACTCGCAATTTTCAAAAATTAGTATGAAGGTGATCATGAGTGACACTTAGTGCGATAGGGGATTATTATTATTATAAATTTTAAATTACATACTGTAAAAAAATTTGGTTGCAAATGCTTTTTATTATTTTTTTATTTTTTTAATTTTAATTTTTTTTTTAATGATAAGATTTCAAATATAGGATATTAATTTCTGTTAAAAATAAAGATTAAGAGAACTTGGATCTAAATATTATAATGTAGTGAATGTTAATTGTATAACTAATAGATAATAGGAGTAATAATAGAGAAAAGAGAAAGAATTGTAATTTTTTTTTAAAAAATATTTAACGTGTCTTGAAATATCTACTATACTTCCAATTTTGAAAACCAATTTTTTTTAATATACATAAGATTGTAAATATAAAAATTCGCAAAAAAATAAAAATAATAAATGACATTAAAAATAACAAGAACGTTAAGAAAATTTACACTTCTAAATAAATTTTAAGTAAATAAGAGATTTTAAGAAGTACAGTAAATAAAGATGAAATGTTAATATGATGGTTATAAGTAGATGGCGAATAATTATTTTTACAAAAAAAAAAATAAAACACTAAAACTTCTTCAAGTGTGAGATATGTAGATTATGTTATAATGTTTTTTTGTTTTTTTTCTTTCTTCCATAAACTCCAATTTCACGGGAAAAATAAAAATTTTTGCGCCATTATTTCTGTACATCTGAGAACTGTGTTTCAAATACACCGGTCTCACCAAGTACCCGGGAATCAACGCTTATTTGCCCACTATAATCCTTTTTTTTTTTTTACGTGAAATTTCTCTCATGATATACGTCTCGAGGTCTTGAGGAAATAAATTTTTTTTTTTTTTATAATAGTTTTTCCATTAATATGTAGAGAAGATATAAATAAAATGTTAAATAATTTAATTTAAATATTGAACAAGCGATTCGACCACTTGAGCCATACTTGGTCGCTAAAAAACGTAAATGAAATCAGTCAATTTAATTGATTTATTAATTTAAAATTTTCTTCAAAAAAATAATTTAATTTACCGCTGAAGGAAGTTTCTGCCACATATCTTGAATTAATAAAAGAAGTGTAGTTGGATAATTCTTTAATTCAATTAGTGATGGACGAACATTTCTATCTCTAACAGCCTCATACAATTGATGTTCGTTATAATTGTGATAAGGATATCCAGCTTCTCCCCATGTCAAAATTTCCCAGAAAATAAGTGCAGCGGCATATACATCAACCTAAAAAAAAATTAACGAATTTTTTTTAGAAAATAACATTATTATTTAGTTAAAATTAATAATTCTTATATAATACCTTTTCAGTATAGCTAGGATTAGGAGTCCAAAATTCTGGTGCTTGCCAATTTGGAGTACCACATTGGGTGTGCATACTTGCATTTGCTTTTGGTCTAATACGGGCTAATCCAAAATCATTAATTTTCGCTCGTAAATTAGAGGATATCTAAAAAAGATAACCCAATTTAGTGAATTGATCTGAATTTATTGAAATAAATCATCTAGTACATACCAATATGTTCATAGATTTCAAATCCTAAAATATGTACATATAACAATAAGTATATACGACGTTAATTATTATTCTTAAAAAAAAAAAACAAATTGCGAATGTACTAATGTGCTAACGACTTACTCTATGAATAATGCTTGGACGACGAGTGTGTAAATATGTAATGCCAAGTGCAATGTCATGCATAAACATGATCTTTAAAAAAAAAAAAGGTATGTAAGTTATATAAGTTTAAGAATTTTACCTTAAATCAGAGATTACAAACCTGTTGAGTAAAAGGTGGTCTTGGTACTTTTCTCATATAGTCAAATAAATCACCATTTTCACAAAATTCAGTTATAATAAATAATTGTTTAGTATTAGTGCTTATTCCTATGAATTGAATAATGTTCTCGTGACGTAGTTGTCTATTATTCCCGATAAGAAAGTTTTATTAGAAAAAGTAAATCATAAATAAATCATAAATGAAAGGAATATATATCATATTACGTACTTTAGGACATTAATCTCATGTTTCGTTTCTTTGAGATCAGATTCACTAAAATTAACAACGCGAAGTTCTCCAATGGCGACAGATTGCTAAAAAAATTTCCGTATAGGTTGAATTAATAACATTAATATCTTGCCGAGAAAAAAATTATCCTTGTATTAATACTCACTTCTTTGTATTTTCCTTCATAGCAATCTTTAAAACCTCCCGAGCCTATTTTTCTACCGATTTCTAGATCCTCATATTTTATTTCACTTGCATCATTATCCAAAAATACCGATGATAAGGAACAAATTTTATCTTGCTTTAACCCACTTGATCCATCGATTGAGAAAAGCTTAGGCGTAGACGGCGCGGGAACAGGTCGTGTATTTAGTTTCTAAATAAGAAATGAAATAAGAATAAATCAATTTTTTTTAACTAGTTTCAAAATTTTTCACGTAATATTTACCCAATCCAGTAATGCTTTTATCAAAGTGGGTTTATCACCTTCAATACTTATTCCTTCATACCAAAAATAAAAAATAAATTAAAATGATTAAATAATAAAATTTGAATACAAATAATATTTAATTATTATTTTACCTCTATCTTGACATAGAGTAATCAATTCTGCTAAATGTTTTTCACTGAGCGTAAGTGGGCTTTCATGCTCCAATTCTGTATCTAAAAAATATAATGGTCAAAATGTTAGCTAAAATTGTTAATAAAACTCCAGATAAAGGAAAGGTTTCGATAATATTACCGATATGATATTCGATTGTTTGAATTTGAAATTGGGATGGTGACATTTTGATAAAGGCTTTAAATTTAAAGGGTACGAAATTGGCGCAGTAATAAAAAAAAAATATAATTTTTAAAATTTGGGATTTCTATAATTTTTAGTTTAAAAAAAAAAAAGTCGTCTTTTTCTTTTTATATACAACACACGAAAAATGTTTAATTTATTTCGATTATATTTGCATCATAATGATGTAATTTTTTAATTCGTGTGACTATTTATAAGATTTTCAGAATCGACTTTTAATATATGTTTTTTTTTATCAGAGAAAAAATAAAAAAAAAATTTACCTGGAAAATGTCTATAAAAAAAAAACGCCAATTGATCAACTTTGATTATTATATTTATATTATTATTTATAAAATGATGATCAGGTTTATTGTCAATTTTAGGCTTAATTTATGATAAATTTAGAAATTTCACAAGTTAAGTAAGACAGAAATGTCTAGAAATTCTTATTGAATTTCCTTTTTTAATCATTCTTTATCGTATTAAATCTAATACTCAATAAAAATGTCATAGGCTTCACACACGGGGATAGAAATATTGCTAAATTTGGTTAGTGATTAAGGAAAATCGAGATTTCCTATGGAACAAAAATAACAGTAACTTTCCTAATAATTATATATTGTATTACGTACAAAATATACAAAGTTTTGACATTGAAGTATTTGAAACGTGTTGATAAACATGCTGTTATTGTTTAAATTTAAACTTGTATTAAATGTCATCATTTATATTTGTAATAATTTAAGACCAAATATAAACTAGAAAAAAGTTGATCGTAATGAGGAAAACGTAATGTATTGTGTGACATCAAGTATGTAATATCACGTGATTTACCTGATACGAATATTTTGCATGATATTATTTAAAACTGATGCATCAAAACATTCTTTTTCTTTTGCGCCATAAATAATTATTGATTATTAATCTATATTAGTTTCTCCTTTTTTTCTCTCTAATACTTGGTTTGAAAAAAAGAGATGTGTGACAAGCTCCCTAACGAAATTCTTATAAAAATTCTTACCGAAGTACTTCAAGACATGAGGCACGTTTTTGATTTTTTTTTTTTCTTTTTAAAGGAAATTTAACATGATAGAATTATCCTATAATTAAGTTAACACGATTAAGTTCTTTTTTCTTCTTTATTCTATTTTTGTTTAAAACAGTTATGAAAAATTTATTAATCTTCGATACGTCAATAATAAGTGGAAGTTGTTGGTATCTGTGGTGATCAATGATGAATTTTCTCAAAAGTTGAAAAAAGACTTTGAATTCATGGTAAAAGGGAAAAAGCGTTTATGGCAAATAATATATGTATATATATAATTTATTTTAATTAATTCTATTAATTTTTATTATTTTTAATTATTTTTTTCATGTTATCTTTCCCTATTTTCATATTATTTAGAATCATCAAGTTCGAACAGATAATAAATTAAATATCAAATCAACGTATTATGATCCAAAAGATGGAAAATTTTCTTTTGAAATCTCCCCTTCTCCTTCATCACCATCATCATATTCACCGTTACCATCATCAACAATAATACATTCATCATTAAACGCACAATCAGAGTTATCATTAGAATATCTTTGTAAAGGTAGAGTAATTTATTGGAGATTACCTACAAGTCATTATTATAATGCTCATGAGGAGAGAAATGATGGTTGTATTTTTGTTAAAGGATTTTGGTATGAAAATCAAGAAATTAAGCGTATTAAAATTAATGCTTCAATTATTTTTAGAATGTTGGAAGGTGAAGAAGATTTTTGGGAATCTTTTAAAAGAAGAAATGTTAGTGTTACTAGAATGTTAAAACTTGAAATGTTATACGTTTAAAGATATAATATAATGAAAATAGTTTTGAGAAATTAAGATAATTCTATGTAGAATAATTAATAATACGGGATAATAATATAATTATATTAATAGTAATAATACTCAAGATACTGTAGTTACCGTGCCTTTGTAATTTGTATATTTGTTACGATGATCAAAATTAATAATAAATTTACGTACTTGATCTGATTTATTCTTTTAATGGAAGATTTCAGCTCAAATTTTCCTCTAAACATATTCCTTTAATTCAAGATACGTCCTTATTCTTTAAATAATCTTCGATCATGTAGGAAATTATTACCATGCTATCATTTAATCTTTCTAATTCTTGGAAGAGTCATATAAAATACGTATAAAATACGTAAACCTATTGATAATTTGCATGTTATTTTATTCATGGATTTCATCGATTTCACCGTTAAGAAATGTGACATAATACAAAAAATAATAAAATAATTAAGTGTATGCGACGTGGAGTAAAAATATTGATCAATGATCGATATCCACGTTTTATCGTTCGATCATTAGGAATACTGCGGCGACCAATAGAATTATGTTGTTTACACTTCATAATAATATTCGCTCTATAAAAAAAACCCGCATATTTGCACTATTCAAATTAGCAATTAAAAAATCATCGGAGTATCATTATCTTTATTATGATTGTACATTTCATTCGGAATTAAATATATTTTGTTCATAAATAATTATATTAGAACGAAAATTATATAGGATAAAAATTCTTCCTAAAGACGATTTAAAATTCTTTCCCCAAAAAATCGGTGTATGTATATTACCATAATAATCACACTTAAAATTAGAATACGTCTCTTTATTTGGCTAAAAATTATATATCCTAAAGTAGAAACACAATATACTTTTTTGTAATAATAGCAAAAAGAAATTGCATTATTAAAAGTGAAGGCGTTAGATATGTTAGATATTACTTAATAAACCAGTTTTATTCGAGTATAGTGGCATATACACGTGATAATCATTGAATAAAGTTTCTTTACGTAAGCAAAATTATGGGGCAATGGGGATAATGCAATTTGCAATGTGTTTCACACGTTTTTCATGGGAAATTTTTTGAACCAATCATTCAATTTGGGAACTTTTACACCATTCTCCATTTTGAAAATGCTGTGTAATCCGTTACGCTATGCGTGATAATTGCACATGTTTACACCTAGCATCGATTCTATTCATTTACAAAGCTACGATTAAGGAAAATAAGCACTTTGTTTGATGGATAAACCTTATTCCAGCAGATGATACTTCTCAATAATAGAGTAATGGCTTATGAGAATCATCTTGTTAGAAAAAAAAGGAAGAAATACCAAAACTTTTTTTGTGCTGAATACATTGTTAAATAACCAACGTAATCTAAATCGGAACTGGTGTTCAATATTGTTTGAGCGTTTATAGTAAATTAATACTAAACTAAAACTGTTAGGGAAATATATTTTATAATTATCGATATAGAAGTATCTTAAAAAAAATATTATATTAGACTTATGTATAATTATTTCATTTTATCAAACCACATTTATCGTAGCTAGAAGCAATAAAATCTCTTTTCTCTCTTTTTTGATTAGAATCATCATAAATTCAGATGTTTGATTGGTAAATGGTAAATATTATTGCGATTATCGTGGTTGACAATTCACAATCATCATCATCAACATAAGAACATTATCGGCTATTGTTAATCGTACATTTATCATAGAATATCTTTGATAATTTATTGGAAATTACCTCGAGATTCTATAATTATTTTGAGATCACTTCTTAAGCCTGAAAAGCCGATATAGTAATGTTTATAGGAGATATATGAGGGAAATAACGGTTTTATTTTCGTTAAATATGAAAGTCAAAAAATAGAACGTGTTTGAATTAATGCATCTGTAAATTAGTTTTCTAGAGATCTTTCAAAGGAAGTAATGTTTATGTTTGTAGAATGTTAAGGCATGTTTAAGATGAGATGACAAGAAATATAGAGAAAAATTACCAGTAGACCGGCTTCTTAATTTCGATTGGAATCAATCATTTTATTAATATAATGGCAGCCCAAATTAAATTCCGAATAATCTTTCATGTTTTATCCACCAAAATTGAATACTTGGAGTACTTAGGTACTACTTACTGTATTCTATAAAAAGTACATTATTTTACATATTTAATTAAATCGGTAATGTTGCAAATTTTTGCACTATTGAAAAAAATTTAGGGTTGGTTATAAAATTACGGTATTTTAAAAATTTTGGCTGTTAATTACAATGTCAGTTATGTAAGTTATATGAGAAAATATATCGGAATAATTCAGAAAGATTAAACTTAATATATTATCTCGTTTTTGAACCAAGTCGATCCGTTTTTTTCCGTAAAAGGCTCATATTTCCGGAATTAATAACCATATATCACGGAATTTATCGAATTATTTACATTTTCCGTGAATGGATCCGTGAAAGGCTCATTTTTACGGATATAATTAATAAGATGGCAAAAAAAATTAGTGATGCGACCCAAATTCATCCATGAGTTTTTACAGAAATAACGGATAAAATTTTTTATAGGGCTATGTAACATAATTCTCACAACCCTAGTAATATTTGATGTATTTACTCATTGAGTAATGCAAAAATGGAAGACGATATTGATTACTTTTTGTTATTAATTTAATTATAACTCTTGTTGAAATATCATGAATAAGAAAAGACATGTACACTTATATGTGCATTTTAGTTCTGATAGTTAAGATGTTAAGCGAGTGGCCAAATTTTATTTACAATATTATTGATACTACTTTATTAAACCATATCAATGGTGCTCAACATCATAGTATGTGTTTTCACAAAACCTATGGTCTAAACCAAAAAATTACACTTCAATGAGCTTGGAAAAATGATATATATAATTGGTATTATTTTTTTTATACTGCAAATACTGCAAAATGGAAAGTTTGAGATACTTATAAAATATAGATATGTGTAGTATAACTATCATTATATAGAATCAATCACTTCTTAGTATGTTAAGTAACGTTTATCGTCTATTTATGTGATCACACTAAAAAATGTTTGTAAATTATTTATATTAAAAAAACAAATTATAATGATTTTTTTTTTTAAAAAAAAATTAATTTCTAACTATCACTGGGGATGATGATCACCGGTGACTGAAATTATGACGATCGACCAGCATTAAAAAATATAGTGCCGGTAAAAATTGATAATTCTGGCCAACGGTAATGATCACCCCCGGTGATTTGAAGTAAAAAACTTTTATGAAATTGGTTTTAACTTTTTTTTATTAACAGTAACAAAGATCAGTCATCAAAAATCATATAGCAATCTATGAAAAAAGAACAGGGAACATATCTATTGGGCAAGATTATTTTTAAAAAAGTCAAGTATCTCCAATTGATTAATATCAGATTATTCCACTCAAACATATAAAATGAAAATAACTAAACGAATGATTTCTTTCAAAATTAAATAATTTTTTTTTTGAATTAAGTGTTCAATAACCTGAAAAAATCATTGGGAAAAGTTATTATAGAACGTCATGTAACAGCTTTCACGTCTTTAATATAAAAGATATTTACTATTAATGTTATTAGTGTATTTAAATTTAAATTAAAAAAAGGATTTTTATAACTGTATTGTTTATCAGATGTCTTCAACAACAAATTTTCTAAGATATTGCAATATTGAAGTAAATATGTAAACTAGTTGTTTAGATTTATTTATTTTATTTCAGAGAGGAGTAACCAATGACGAGTACATAATAGAAGTTAACAACTATAACTAGTGAAAAACTATACTATTAGGGGTGCTGTGGTTATAAATCTCGTAAACAAGACCTCACCCTCTGGGCGGAACTACTCTAACAGTAAAACTACGCTACTGATAAAGTCAGAACTAGTTGTTTAGATTTTATTTTTATTTTATTTTATTTTATTACTAAAAGAGTGGTAGAACAGGACCCCGGAAAATGCTTATATATATAAGGTACCAAGGTGCTTAGCCAACATAGAAAAGTTTTATGATGTAAGAATTTTATAATGCTTAATTTTGAGAAAATTTTACACTATGTAAGATAATTAAATTGCATATTTTTGGTATTATTTTAAAATACTAAGAGTTTTTAGTTGCTTATTTTTCATATTTATAACTTTTTAAAATATTATATATTGAATTTATAATTAATTTTTATTTTATTTTCACTAACGGTGAGTGTTAATTTTGTACTACATTTCACAATTTTATATAAATACATAAACAAAAATTTTTTTTTGATGAAATTTTTCAATGTTTTATTAATTATCTGTCAATAGTATTTTTTTAATTTTTATTAAACTCAGTGTATTATTTTTAATATAAAATTACTATATTATACATGTTTATTTTGTTAAATAAAATTACTATAAATATGTTTTACTTTAAAATATAATTTCACTACTCACCAC